TAAATATTTTAATTGTGTACATTATTTATTAAGTATGGAAGTAAGTTTTTGCAACAAAAAAATAAAAATAATAATATTAAGTTAATCAATTTAAACAATGGAACAATATCTGTTCAGTAGTTTAAAAATTTACACGAGAAAACTAGCACACATTGGCCCGACGTCGGGCCGACGTGTGACGGCTAGAAAATTTACTACGGCATAACTATGTTTTAAATGTACATTGTGGTTTTCTGCGCTTTGTTTACTCAATAATTGAGTAAGCTAAGCGCATAAAACCACAACGCACATTTAAAACATAGGATTTCCTACGTTATGCCGACGTAATTTTTCTAGCTGATATAAAACACGTTAGCCCGACGTCGGGCCAACGTGTTCATGCTATCTGGGCTATCAACAATTAAATTTATTGCTCCTCCGGTTGAGCACTCTTCTCAAGTCGTTAGAAAAAATGGAGAAAATTAACTTCAATTATTCAATAATAACAAAATATATATATATTCAATTATTCAATAATAACAATATATATATATATATATATATATATATATATATATATATATATATATATATATATATATATATATATATATATATATATATATATATATATATATATAATATATATATATATATATATATATATATATAACTTTTGATTTGCAATGGCCATGTTTCTGCCACATTCTATAGAGGTGTCATTGATATACAGAATGTAACAGTGTTCTAATTGGTAATGAAACAGTAATGCTGTCAAGTTTTTCAGTTTTATAAACTAGATAATTAAATCAATCTAAAACTTTTCATTTTATATTTTGCCAAGCACATAAAAGGGGGTCATAAGTTGCAAATCAATTTAATATCCTTTACATCTGAGATAATTGATAGTTTAAAATCATGCAGCATAAATCATGCAGCATAGAACTTACATCTCCAGACCGTCTGTATCCAACAGTTTTATCATAGCAATAAAAATGTATAAAGCTTTGCATTTTGCAAAAGAACTGTGACAACTTTCAAGCATCCGATGGATTGTTAGATTAATAAGAGAAACAATATATCATTTATATCATTCAAATCGTTTTTTTATTATTTTATTTTTTCATTGATATTTACATATTATTTAGTCATCTGTCTAAGAAATATTAATAAGCATGGAACTCTCATTTCCATTCTAACGCCCAAAATCAATAGTTTATCAATCCAATTGTTTTGTTTTAATTTTTAAAACGACAGTAAGTTGCATTAGAAGACCGTAAGGTAGCATTTGTAGCATAAAATAGCATTGGTTATTGATAATTGCACAGCTTATCCAAATATTGAGAGTCTTAAGACGGTCACAGTCTATTTTTGTCCCCCAAACACAACTTCATGTTTGCAGCCAATAGATTAAAGAGCCCATCGTTGAAGTGCATGTACCGAACTAATTTAAGTAACTAGATTATAAATGCTATTGAAAACAAAAAACAATTGCCTTCAATCTCTATACTTGATGCTGTAAAAATGCTTCAAGTATACATATTATCATACATCTGAATGTGCAGACTGTAAACCCTGTTATATTGGCGGAACTACTCGCCATTTAAAGACACGAGTATTCAAGCACCAAAAAAGGGATAAAAACTCACACATTTATAAACATATTTAATCAAATGAAAGCTGTTTTAATAGTTTTAATTATGCAAGTTTTTCAATGTTGGATTCGGCCTCCAACAAATTTATGTTAAAACTCAAAGAAAGCATTTACATAGAGTAGGAAAAACCCACTATTAATAATCAAATGAACCATGTAAAAATAATAAGACTTTTTTAAGAAGTCCAAGTGCAGCTGTGGCACAGTGGTTAGAGTGCTTGCTTTATAAGCAGAAGATCCAGGTTCGAAACGAGCTTTTAAAATATTTTGCGTCACGGTAAGGAAGGAGGCGTGAACTTTCTGGTTAAATGCACTTCCGCGGTGCTCTGTGACAAGAGGTTAGGTCTTCTAGGGCACCTAAAATAAAAAAATATATACACAGTATTGTGAAAAAGTTAAGAACCGCTAAAAAAACAAATCATAATATATTTTTATTTTTAAATTTTTATTTAGTCGAATATAATTTTCTGGTAAAAAATAATAATAATAATTTTTAGGAAATAGACAAACAAAATAAAAAATAATAATAACGGTTAGACTTTAAAAACAAATAAAAAAAATGTATTTGAAGTTTTGTAGGTAATTTTTATTTTTAAAAAATTGTGAAATAGTTAAGAACCACAGAACAAAAAACAGTAGTTTTTAACTAATACCGCGTAATTCTACCATGAATTTTTAAGCACTCATACGATTTGGCATTGAGTCTATTAAATTCTTTAAAATATGTTTGGGAATATTTCTAAGTATTGCTGGTAAAATATTGCGCAACTCTTCAAGACTCCTTGGTGCTTTCTTGGCAATCTGTTTATCAAGCCAACTCCAAAGATTTTCAATACAATTTAGATCTGGACTATTTGATGGCCAAATTAGACGCTCAATATTTTTGTTTTCGAACTATTTAGAGACAATTTTAGCCCTGTGGCATGGTGCATTGTCTTGCTGAAAAATGAACGGAACGCTTTGCTCAAGTGCATCAATTGATGGTAATAAGTTATTATTTAAAATATCGACATAATAAATAGAGTTGAGTCGACCATCAAATAATTTAAACATACCAAGACCATAATATGTCCGTTAAAGGACAATAAGCATCAGTGCAGATGAATACTCACTGACACTCCTTTTTGAAATGAGCTTCAGGAAATGGAAAAAAAAAAATCTCAATCAAAAAAAGAAAAAACGTCATTAAATTTTATCTCAGAATAAGATCTTCTTGACAAGAAAAAGAAAACTTCTTTTTGAAAGTAATAATTTTTTTTTTCAAAACAGTAGTGACAGTGACAATACATTAGAATCACAACATTTTAATGAATTGTCATACTTCAGAATATTGTAAAAAATTATTTTCAAAAATTGTAAAAAAGTATTTTCATATTTTAACAACTGAGGAATCACATTAAAAAATTTTTTTCATCGATTATGCTTTTTTGTCTTCTGATAAATTTGTAGAAAAATTAATAACTTTATTATTTTTTATTATAGACATTGTTTTGATGACTTAAAAACAAATCCTACATATTCATGGTATAAATTTGAATTTGGATCAAATTGTATATTTGTTCAAGTTACATAGAATCAAGAGTCCATATAGGTAGGATTAAGGATTAAGGAAAAATACTGGTATGCACCCTTGATCTTAATTGAATGTTTTTAGTTTTTACCACGTTGTTATTAGCTCGCTTCTTGTTTGTTTGTTTGCCCGGGCAACTCAATTTTAACCCACTTTTCGATTAGCTAGAGCTCTGAAACTTTTACTATAGCTCAGAACCCGATAACAATGCAATATTATACTACTTTTACCATGATTTGCCGAGTTTCTTGAACAATTTCAGCAAAATAAAATTTATTATGGCGAAACTTTTGGAGGCGTCGCCGCAATTTGACGCGTCGCTTTAAATAAAAAATTTTCGAACAAAAAAACCAAATTTAACTGTCGCTGTGATTTTAAATGGACCGCAGCATAAAAACAAAATCAGTTGTTTACAAAATATAAAATTCCACCCATCAAAAACTAAAAAGAAGAAAATAATATAACAAATAAAAAAACTTTTTATAAAACCACGTTTTTGTAATGAATTAAAAAGTAGAAAATAATTTTCTCTTGTGGCTATAGAAATTTTTGAAAATTAATTGAGTCGATAGTAAGTGACGTGAAAACTTTTGATTATGAACTCTTAATAATTACGATAATATTTGTAAATGTTTAAACAAAAAACGTGGTGCGCATCTTGTCACTTTAAATGTTCATCATCGTCCTTAATTACTTTAACTATTGCTTCCTTCTGTTCTTTTTTTCGTTAAATGCGCACCACGTTTTTCGTTTAAAATTTTACAAATATTATCGTAATTATTAAGAGCTACTTTTTAGTTCATTACAAAAACGTGGTTTTTAAAAAGTTTTTTTATTTGTTATATTATTATAATTTAAAATCTACTTAAGATATCCTGGTAAAAAAACGATTATTCAATTATAATAAGATGTAAAGTATGCTATCATGTACTGTTACTTAAGGGATCGAAATAAAAACGTATATTTAGTAAATTGGACTGATAGATTTTTAAAATAATGAATGCATACTCTCTTCTACTACAAGAAATATTATTCAAACAATATAATTTTCGCAAACATTAGAAACGCATAGTCTATAGAAATTCTACAGAGTTTTATAGAACTTTGATAGAATTCTTATTAGTTGTTATAAAAATTAAAAAATTAAATAACTAAAAAACCATTTTTTTATATATATTTATACAGAAAAAAAAAAAAAAAAAAAAATGATTTTATAGCATTATCTATAGAAATCAATACACCTTCTATAGAAATTTTATAGAGTTCTAAGGAGTTTCTATAGGCCACATGTTTTTAAAATTCTATGGAACTATTTTTACTACAGCAAATATTTTTTCGTTCATATTTATTTTCTATTTCTTTGGAACGAGTTTTTTTTTACTCTTATTTCCGTTACATTACACTTATTCATGCTTCTTACTATTTATATCATATAAAATATTATAACTTTTCAAAAGTAGTCAATAATTTGCTTAACCTGTACAGGTCTACCTTAAGTTTCCTTACACGCCCCACTCTATTCTATATTACTTATTCGCCATTGAATATTTTCAAAATTTGTGGACCTTATTGTGGGGTCGAATTCATCGTGAAATTTCTTGATGTAAAATCTTAATTAAGATTTAACATAGATAGGTGTGTATAATTTTTCATAAAATCAAAAAAAAAAAATTTTTTTAATATAACTTATATATATATATATATAAAATAGGTGAGATGTTAAACATTAAATTACAATATTAAACATATAAAAAGTAAAAAAAAAAACCTATAAAATTTTATAAAAAATGAAAGATATCAGTGTTGATCAGTGATTTATAAGAAAATTTATAACATTACTCTGGAACGTGGTCAAACATGGCAATTGACGATTGAATTTTCGATATAATCTAAATTTAAAAATAACAGTTATGATGTTGGCAATTATATATATCTTAAGTAAATCATAAATATCTTGAATTAATAATAAATATCTTGCATAAATTATAAATATCTTGCAAAAATTATAAATATCTTGAGCAAATTATAAATATCTTGAATTTTGCTTAAATTTTAAAAACTTACTTGCTGGTGAAAACGGACTTGCTCAGTTAGATAATTATTCATCATTTCTTTGAAATCACGACATCGTTCTCGATGGAAGTGTTGAATTTCAGCTATAATATACATTTTGAAAATTATTTAAATTCACAAAAAGTGTAAATGTATCAAACTTTGAATAAATAATCGAAAAAATAATTTAAACTTCGATATTGAGAAAGGTGCTAATTTAAATAAGGTCGCTTTAATTTTGTAAAATTTGATTTTTTAATCATGACATTCATTAACTTAAAAGGTTAAACTCATTAACTAAAACACCATGTATATTAGCAGATAAAATGTATAGAGAGGCACTGTTGTTTCGTATAGAGAGGCACTATTATATTATGAGAGAGGCACTGTTATGTTACGTACAGAGAGGCATTGTTATGTTATGTATAGAGAGGCACTGTTATGTTTCGGGGAGGAGAGGGGCGCTTATTTGAATATTTACAGTAATTATGGCAAACAAAGTTTAAAATATCTTATGAATTGATAACTTCAAAGTAATTCAATATTATCACAAAGATTCAATAGAATCACAAAAATAAAGCTAGTGAATGATTAAACTTTTATTTATCTATTTTTTCCTCCGCACTTCAAAGCTTTGGAACTCTCCCATCTTTATGCCAATAAAAACTAAAAGTGACCATTAGCTTATGATAATAAAAAAACAACAACAAAAAATCATTATACTTTTCAATCTTTGATATTTGCCCCATAATGACTATATTTTAAGTTTTAAAACTGTAGGACAAGGCTCATAAAATTAGATAAATTTTATTTTAGATTTAGTAGTGGTAGGGCAACCATAGAAGATTATTACAACTAAATTCTGGATTTAGCGGTGGTAGGGTAATCATAGAAGGATCACTGTGGAGGTTGGGAGAAGATACCTCAAATTCTCTATAAAGGGGAGTATGCGGAGCTAACTTATTGTAATAAGTTAAATGAGTTGCTTTTGCTATTTGCTACGTTTTGAAAATAAAATGTATAAAATAAACTTTAATCTTTTCAGTTCTAAAAATTAGCTGTATATCAAGTAGTAAAACAACATTCTTGATTGAAACTATTACAATAACCGCCTTTTTAACTCTTCAAAAAATATTAAATTTTGAAAAAAGTATAAAAAACATACCAAACATTGCACATGTAATTGTATCCATTCTTTGAGAAACGTTTGCTACTTCAGCATACTAAAAATGTGAAGAATTAATTGAATGTTAGAATTAGTTAATAAATTTTAAATAAATCAATTAGTAATAATAAAATAATTAAAAATTATAACCTTTAGCTTTTCTTCTTCTTGTAACTTTTGGCATTCTTTTACTTTGGCAAATGCACCCTAAAGAAAACTATGAATGTATATTCATTTATTTTCATTACTATGCCATAAGTAACAAACATTACGTCTGGAGAATTATAAAATTCTTTATATAAACTTGTAATTAATTTGTATTTTATTTTTATAAATAAAACTTGAATTATTTATTGAAAAAAACTAGATTACTTTATTACCCTATATAAAAATTTCATTTTTATGTAAGGTAATAAATATGTGCAAAACAGTTAAGCATTTTATAAACATTATACTTGCATTTAGTTACATTAACATTTGAACTTTTACAGCTTTATTTTCATGTAAAGTTTTATATGTTTAATTGATGAGACCTTTATGGCAAATAAAACTTAATCTTTGATGCGATGTCAACAATTTAAAGTTTTCAAACATGATCTCATTTAAGCCAATTAAAAAAATCAACAATTTTCACCTGATGATGGATGATTGTGCTGTGTTTTGAAAACATGGCAAACTTTCCTTTTTCACCTGAAAACATGACAACTCTTGTCTTTCACTTGAAAACATGACAAACTTTCCTTTTTCACCTGAAAACAAAACCTTTTTCAATTATAAACGAAAAAGGTCCGAAATTGATGTTTGTTTCAATGATTTGCACAATTCTTTTTCAGCTTTGAAGCATTCAAACATACTCACCAAGTCTGATATATATTATTTATACTTTATATTTCACCACTTTAAAAAAACATCAAAAAACTAACATGGGTATCAATTGCTTTTCCAGCTTCTGCAGTCGTTGGCTTTGTCACTGTTTCATACGACATTTTATGCTTTATTCAAATTTATCTGAATCCTTATTTAGGGAGATACGCATCCACACTCCTTTCGCAGAAGTTTTATTTTTTTCAACTTCTGAATATATTGTGTTTAACCGAAAAAAAGAAAATCAGTGAAAATGTTTAGTTAAATCTAGTTTGTGCAAAGATAACTTTTGAACGTTATAAGTTTTGAATTTTTAGTGTAATAGTTACTAACAAATAGAATTTAATCAAAGCTTAACTGAATCAAAAAAACTTGGTGAAAATGTTTAGCTATGTTTAATTATATTTGACGTAAAAGTATTTTATTGTCGAGCGTTTAAAGTTTCGAATTTTTATTGAAGTATTGGAAGTTTTGTTATTGCATGCACTTATATGCAATTCAAAATAAAAGTCCTAGTTAAGCGAAGTTTTTTGCTGAAGGGACCTCAAAAAACAGTACAAGTTAGCGAATGGTCTGACTTAACCAGGGTACTACTTAAGCAGATGATTTTACAGTAAGTTGATAGAGAAAGTTCAAGGGGAATTAAAATTCCGCCTGACTTAGTAAAAGTCCGACTTATCCAGGGTCTGAGTTAACGGGATTTAACTGTATTATTTTTTACTTAAACTTAAATTGAGAACGAATACATCTAGTCAAAACATGTCATGTAATTATAAAAATGCTGTAAATTAAAGATCTATATGGATAAAGGTGTCTGACAAAATTGAAAAATGTATATACAGTAGAATCCCGTTAACTCGGACCCTGGATAAGTTGGACTTTTACTAAGTCGGAAAAATTTTAAATTCCCCTTGAATTCTCTATACATACTAAAAGCTTCGCTTAACTCAGACATTCACAAAGTCGGACAAAAACTATATACCTGTTCGGAGTCCGAGTTAACAGGATTCTACTGTGTGTGTATATATATATATATATATATATATATATATATATATACATGTATATACAGAACCTATTCTAGTAAAAAAAATTTAGGCAGTGGTACCCCCTCATTCCAAAAAAAAAACAACAACAATATTTGCGGTAAAAACATAAAAAAAAAAGCGGTGCCCAAATATGGTTGACGCTATCAAAAATAGAATAGCCCCTGATATATATATATATATATATATATATATATATATATATATATATATATATATATATATATAAAATTATTATTATTATAGTATTTTCTACAATAAAAGTTTGACTTCTATGAGTTGAGTGTCTAATTCTATTTGTCGTAATTGTTTTTGAAACAATCAACTAAATTCGCATCAACTACCGAAGCAGGCAAAGCCTACCACTCGGTTTTTAAAGAAGTTACGTCTTTATGAGTTTTTTGATAATTCTTGTTCAATTTTATGCTTGGCACAATGAAGATGACCTGCAAGTCCATCACATACGTCAAGAGCAGATTAGCAACATTGTTAATCTGCTGTTGCCAGTTAACAATGTTTAATTTTTTATAAATTTAAAAAAATTGGATTACATCTCCTCTTGTTCTACGTTCAGCTGATGAGCTGAGATTCATTTCTTGTATTTCAAGCTGCACAATTGTGGAACGAGTTTAGTAGCTCTACGTTGGAATGATTCAAACCTTTTAATGCCTTTTAAAAGAAAAGGGCACTAAATTGGTGCGCAGTACTCCAATGTCGGTCTTACATATGCTGTAAAGATCTTCACAAACATACTTCGATTCCATTTTTTAAGAGTTCTTTTGAGTATCCCAAGTACAGAGTTTGTTTTAAGAGTGGCATTACTAATCTGTTCTGACCATTTCAGTTTATTATTTATCAGAACATCCAACCATGAATTCCACGAAAATCGTAACCTTAACTTGATTTTATAAACTAATTTTTTACAGTAAATTTATGGTGTAATTAGCTTTAATATGTATCTAATCACAAGAAAATATTAAATAAATGAATAAGTTTGCTAATTAATGTTTATGGTAATTATTGAAACCGAGGTATGTTTACAAATTGCCTGGGAATTTTTTTGTGGAAAATGCAACTACAATATATCTTTAACTATTTAATATTATAAAATATGTCAACAGGTAAGATTGGTATCATTTTAAAGAAGAAATAGTTGTACAGTATATATGTAAAATTAGTTTTTAGAAACTATTAGGTAAATTTAATAATTTTATTCAATTTAAATCGATATTGTATTTAATTGATTTTCTGTGATTCAGTCACGAAGTAATTACAAAACTTTATTTTTTTATTGTTTCTAGCAAACATCAAAGTAAATAACTACATATTATCTTAATATTTAAAATTTGGAATAATTGTATGAATATTGAATATATTGTTTATGTGAATGAGTGTTTAATGTGTGTGACGGAATCACGCAATATTGTGACAGAACCACACACTTTTAGCTTCAATTTTACATGCTTAATTTGTAGGTAGTTTCCTAATGTTTTACCTTTATATTATTTGCCAATAAATATATCTACTATTAGGATTGTTCTTTACAACTATGCTGCATCAATTTTCTATTGTAGATATAATTTATTAATTATTAAAACATTATGCCACCAAAAAGTGCTTCTGAAAGACGGCGAATGTACCGTGCAAAAGTTAAAGAAAATTCTGCTATACTTGAAGCCGCTAGAGCAAAGGATTATTTACAAAAGAAGAGACGGCGCTCAGAAATGGTTGACAAATAGGCAACTGATTTTAAAAAGCAAGCAAAGCTGGCCACTCATAAATGGCGTGTTAATAAATCTCATTCCTTGGCTACACCTCTTACTGCAATCAAAAATAAACTTCCTTACAAGTTGTTATGGTCCTCTGGAAAAGCAAGAAGGAGAGCCGAAAACGCTGTTCCCAAAAGTCCTTGAAAAAAAGCAGCCGTAGTTCGAAAATTGGCCAGTGATATTTTGAATATTGAAGTAAAGAGTCCTTCATCAGTGACAGCAGCAGATTACTCATGTGTTACTAACTTTTATAATGATGATAGTATATCACGAGTCATGCCCAGAAAGGCAGGCATCTTACAGTTTATTCTAATAGTAATAATATACGTCAGAGTTACAGTTTATTCTAATAGCGGCAAAATTAAAATGCAAAAACGCCATCTTGTAATGAAGGTTGCTGAAGCATACCAGACTTTTAAATCTGAATTTTCAAATTACATTATCAGAAAATCCAAGTTTGCCTCAATGCGTCCAAAGAACGTACTTTTAACCAGTGATATGCCACAAAACGTATGCGGATGCAAATACCATAGCAACATTATCTTGTTATTGGACTGTTTCATCGTCAATATCCATAAATATTTCCGACATATTTAGATGAATTTGTATCAAATTGTGTATGTTTCACAGCAAGAAGCTTGCATGTTTAACAAATGCGATATGTGCAAAGATTTTCGTCTTTTTACTGAAAATTTCACCAGTAAACTTGATAATACAGATAATTCAGTGACCTGGTATCAGTGGAAACAGGACAATGATAGTTATTTAGTAAAAGAGTTGCAGGAAGGTAATGTTCAAGATGCAATTGATTCCATCTCATCTCAGCTTATTGCCTTTCTACAACATGTTTACAAAAAACATCAACAAGCGATATCTTACGAATCACAGAAAGCTGACACACAGTTGCCTGACAGTACATCTGGTATCTTGCAGATGGATTTTGCAGAAAACTATACTGCGACTTTTCAGGACGAGATCCAGTCAGTACACTGAAAACAAAAACAAATAACTGTGTACACGATTAAGATTTGGCATTTCTCTGAAATAATTTCAAAAATATTTGTCTCAGACTGTTGTGATAATGAAAAACATTCTGTCACCGCATATACTGCAAAAATTCTCAAGTTTATCAAACTGTCTTTTCCCACAGTTGATACTGTGGACCAAGTAGTCAGTAAAAAAAGTAAATTTGTATTTATTTTGTCTATAAAATTGAAGGAAGTTTCTGATCTACAGCTACAGAGGAATTACTTTGCAACCAGTCATGGAAAAGGGCCAAATGATGCGCTAGACGGCAATGCGAAGCGAATTACCCATCGTCAAGTGTTATCCAGAAAGTTCATAATACGAGATGCTTTATCATTTGCTGCTGCTGTTAAATCAGTACAGAGCAATATAAATGTTAATGTCGTTTCACCTTATGAAATTGAAACTAAATGCACTGAGCTGAATGCTGATCTTTTGTGGAGTGATGTACCGGCTGTTCCAGGTACACAAACTGCTCATTGTGTTAATCCGCAATAGAACAGCATTAAGTGTAAGATGAACACAAATGCTGTGCTGTGAACACCTAGCATGGATTTTATTTCTACGCCACCAACTGTAGATGCTGTCATATTATTCCTAAAGCTTCGATTTCAAGACAATATTTCCGGTAATTTACTAAGTAGTAATATAGTAAAATATAGTTATATTTTTTGGCAATTTTATCACCTTAATTTAAAGTTGCACTAACAAGTACTCATAGATATAAAAAACACAAATTTATATCTGGAAAGAACTTTGTAGATCGTGTGTTCCAAGGCAGGTTTTATAATTATTAAATAATTATTTAATATAAAGGTAGTTTTTGACTTGTAATAAACATTGTACGTGTAATAGGTATGAATAAGGCATATCTTGTAAATAAAGATTCCCCATTTTTTTATTTTTGTTGGTGTATCTTTAACTTAAAACTACATTGCTCCTATCTATAACACTATGTAACTAAAATTAGTGTTTAACTAAATGACTGCTATAGAAGTTGCTGCAGTTCTTGAGAAAGACAGTGAACCAATGGATAATCCTATCATTAGCAGTGTTGGTTTAAAGCGTACAAGACGAATTCCATCAAGATTTAATTGATCGTATATTTACAATAAAATAGTTAATTAACTAATTGAATGAATGCTAATTGTCTAATTTGATTAAGAATGTTTAACTGTTCTGTAGCCAAGTTATTGACTCTTATTGACACACCTTTTGAAATATTACTGTAGTAGACAGTAGGTTTTTGTTAGGATGGCTAATAGGTGATTCCATCACACCATTTATGTGATTCCCTCACACATACTTTAATATAAATATAGTATTATCTACTAAATAACTTATAATTGTTTCTAATTATTTGCAAATGGTATGTATTTTAACACACACACTTGTGAAGCTAAGTAAATTTAAATAGGAGAGCAGAAATGTGTTACTATAATAATATACTATAAAATGCTTGTCCATAAACTGGTGGTTCCATCACGCATATTATTATATTAATATTATATGATTATTATGTATTTATAGTTTTTTGGTATTAGAAGTATTTCAGGCCAAAGTGTGACAAACACATATATCATATAGAATAACAATATGCACATTACAGTTTTTTTATTTTTATAACAAAAATGTGGAAAATAAGCTCAAATTGGTTATTCCCCCACAATGGAATTCATGCATTGTTCTTTCAACAGATGCATCTTCAATAGGAATGTGACTGCCATTTTTATCTAACATTGTCAAGGGGATTTTGATATCTGTGGAATCACAACGGAACTTTAGAACCTTGCATTTATTTATGCTAAGTTCCATGCACTAAATTTTTTACCAATTACATAACATATCAATATCATTTTGGACTAACGCCAAGTCCGTAACTGTTTTTATTTTTGCAAACAACTGGCTATCATCAGCAAATAGTTTGCAATTATTTATAACTAATTGTGGCAAGTCGTTGATAAAGATCAAAAAAAGAAGAGATCCGATGACCGATCCTTCAGGTACACCACTCAGGACATCCATCCATTCGGAAGAGAAATTTCCCAGAACAACCCACTGTTTCCTATTTTCAAGAATGTCCTTGAGCCAGGCAAGAACATTTTTGTCAAAACCATAGCCAGCCAGTTTGTGATACACAATCAAAAGCTTTGGCAAAATCTAACGAAATGAGCAATGCAGCACAGTTGTCACTTAGGCTTCGGTAATAATATACAATACTTCAAGAAGATTTTGTGACACACAATCCAGATTTGAAAAAACCGTGTTGATGGCAAGATAATAGATTATGCTTTACTAGATGTTCAGTCATGACATCACGCTTTATTTTCTCCATTAGTTTTTCAATTGCTGAGGTGAGGGAAATAGGCCTGTAATTTTCAGAATCAGTACGCTGACTCTTTTTAAATATTGATGTTATATTAGCAATTTTCCACCCAGAAGGTACTTGTCCAGAATAAAACGACTTGATAAATAGGAGAGAGAGGCACACTGAATTCTTTAGAGCAACTTTTTAGCACTTTAGGATGGATTCCATCATTACCAGTGCCTTTTGAAGAGTCAAGAGCAGATAAAATTTTTTTAATATTGCAACAATTAAACAAGGAGCTAGAAACTGGTGAGCAAATAATTTCGGTTCTTCGAGAAAAATCAGGAGCTTGGCAGTGAGTTTCAGGTGATGAACAAGCTTTAAAAAAATTGATTATTTAAGCAATTTGCAATAGACATGTTATCTACTAATTGCATTCCATTGTGGTCAAAAAGAAATCAAATTTTATTTTACAAGTCTTTTGGCTGTTTATATAAGAATAAAACTTTTTTGGAAAAGACTTACAAGCAGAAATGACTTCATTCTCAAACTTTAGTACAGCATCAGCAACAAATTTTTTGAACAGACGATTTTGTTTGTTGTACAAGACTTGAATAATGTCTTTAAATTTTCTTGAAGAACTGCGTAACTTCATAAATAGTCTAAATTTTTCTTTAGTTGCCACTTTAATAGTAGAATTAAACCATTTTAGATCATGTTTTTTAAAATTAAAAGAGATATTGTATTTGGTAATGTGATGTTCAACCAATGAAATGTAAATGTTTTTAAATAATTCAAAGCTTTCATCTACTGATTTATTTCTGAATAAGTTCGGCCAATTGATTGCTTTTAGACCATCACTAATGACATTATAGTCACCTTTGTCATAGATATAATTTACTTTTTATATTTATTATATTAATTATATTTTTATATTTATTATATTTTTATATTTATTATATTAATTTAATATATATATACATATATATATATATATATATATATACATATATATATATATATATATATATATATATATATATATATATATATATATATATATATCTATATATATATCTATATATATCTATATCTATATATATATATATCTATCTATATATATATATATATATATATATATATATATATATATATATATATATATATATATATATGCAAACTGATACTATTGAATAAATATGAATATCTACCTTATGGACATTAATGATTTCTGGATAAGTTGACAGTAGTCCAGTATACTCACGAAGGACTTCTAGAACATGAAGCATATCTTTTTTTGGCTAAAAATTCAATAAATATTTATCCATAAAAAATTAAAGGAAACTTTTACTTTTTGTAAAAAAATTAAAGAAAGCCATTAGTTTTAATAGTTGAACCATTTTCAGATCCTATATATTTTAAATTCTTAAGATATCAAACTAAATATTTATTCTTTTTTCTACAAATTCAATTTTCTACACATTGATATGCCAAAAATCTGAAAAAGACTGTATAATGTAGATGTACATACACATACAAACATGTACATTTAAATATATTAAATGTAAATGTTTGTATGTGTCAGATAAATAATTAATCATGTACATATGTTAAAATCACATGCAAAGTAAATAAATGTTTTCAAAGTGTAATTTATTTAGAAGCAGATTTTTTGTAAAATAATATTAGAATAGAATAATACTGAACTGCCATACAATGCCACTTTTTTGCAAATTTTTATTTCAAATAATGCTAAATTCGGATTTTATTATACTATCTGGCATCACAGAACTAAATCATACTTTTAACTATGAAAACTATTTCAACCTCTTTCAGATTTATTAGTGATGTACCAATGAAAAAGATTTAAAAGCGGATTTGTGGATGAAAAGATTGTGGCTAATAATCAGGTTTAATGTATGTATATAAAGGTAATATACTAATATTAGGTATTCAATTTGCATTTATAAGTTGCGTCTATGCACCAGCATTGGTTTGGCCTATTATTTAATGTTGATGCCTTGGCCAATGCCAATTTATCAGCTTATCTATCGGCCAATTATAATTTACATTGGTTGAGGCATCAACATTTGCAAATAGGCCAAATCACTACTGGTGCATAGACCCAACTTATATATGCAAATTACATACCTAATATCAATATATTACCTTTATATACATACATTAAATCCTATTATTAGTTGCAATTGACCTTTTTATTGGTACATCACGTACATAAGTTGAAAAAAATGTTATTGCTAGGTTAAGTATGAGGTTAAACAAATAGTTAAACAAATACCCAAATAAAAATATAAAAAAATTGAGGAATAAAACAAATTAAAAATAAAATAAAGTTTTTATTCTACTTTCATTCTACTTGCTTATGATGCTTTATATTTCAAAATAATAAGAACAATATTTTCTAGTAAGAAAAAAAAAGTTTATCATAAATAGTTAATTACAAATACATAATAAAATTTGATTATAAAAAAGTTAATTACAAATATATAAATATTTATTTATATAGTACAAATAGATTACAATGTATAGATTTTTACATTAACTATATTATTATATAATATAGTTAATGTAAAATATAGTTAATGTTTTAACATTATATCATTATTATATCACATTATTTACATTAAATATCATTATTATATAAATAAATTTGTATTCTATCATTATTATATAAATAAATTTGTATTTTTTACATAACAAACATTTAGAACATCAAATTTACAAATAAATTTATTGAATTAATAAAAAATGATATATATATATATATATATATATATATATATATATATATATATATATATATATATATATATTATTATTACTTCATTCATTAGTTTTTTTTTTTTAATTACTGCAGGGCCCTTAAAACACATTATAAGTCTCTTAAAATAATATTTCTTTAGGTCCCCAAGAACACATTATAAGTCCTTCAAAAGAAACATTTCGTCTCTATAACTAACCATTATCTCACACAATACATTATTTATCCAAGTTCCTTAAAAAATATCATTTTTTAATGTACCCTAAAATAAATGATTTTTTCAGGTCCCCATAAAATCTTATTTTGAAAAATGTTAATTAAAAAGATTATAAAGGTTTAGAAAATGAAATTTTTTTGTAACTTAATGTGTTCATATTAAACAAAAGTTGTAAAATCTTTAAAAAATACCTGGTCTGCGCACAAGTCTCCAATATCATTATACTGTTGAGCAGTGTGATCCATAGCTTGTGTCAATGCAAGTGAGTCTGTTAAATTGAAAAATTATGAACAATTTCAACTTTTATTAAAGTTTTTTTTTTAAACTTTTTTCAAAATTATAAAAGTGTCTTATGGACAAAAATATCTTACATACAGATACAATAATATAATTTACTTATTAAAACATAAAAGTTAATTAAGAATATCTTAAAATTTCTGACTGTGGGTGTCCGATACCAAAAAAATGTAATAAAAACCTACATAGTACTTTATGTTTTAAAATATTTCTTTAATAATCTATGCTCAAACTTAACTTATCAAATATTTTTTGGTCACACAGGCGTGGCAACTCTTAGCTTTTGTTATGACTTTAAAAACCCTTTTGAAAATTTAAAAATTTGGCGGCACACTAACATAAAGATAAGTTTCACATAACTTTTTTTACATTATCTAAAAACAGAATGGTTGCAGCACACAAAAGTGCTGCAACAGAACATTTAAGACTGTGTGAGTGATAGTCTTGATAAAATATAAAAATTCTTATCAAAGAATTCAAAAAAAAAAATTACATATAATGAAGTAAAACAAATATTATTGTTAAATAAAACTTATTATAAACTTATTTAAATTGATATTTAAAAAAAAAAAAACTGTTTGATTTTTATTTATTTGCTATTGAAAATGATTTTATTTTTTTAATTATTTATTTTTTCAAAATTTACCTTGTACACTTTTAACTATTTTAAACCACTTAGGTTTTATTATTATTATTATCTTTTACTTCTTTTTATTTCTTAGTGTATTAAATAATTGACATATATAAGCAACCAAATATTCAGTAAACAAATTATTTTATGCTAGCTTTTTTTCTTCTAAAAGAAGATGAAATTATTATTATTATTTTTTTTTTTACTAATATCATATACTTAACATTAAACTCTTAGCATTTTAACTCTTCATACTTTTTCTTTTTCATCTTCACCTCCAACTCTTAGCATTTTAACTCTTCATACTTTTTCTTTTTCATCTTCACCTCCAACTCTTAGCATTTTAACTCTTCATACTTTTTCTTTTTCATCTTCACCTCTAACTCTTAGCATTTTAACTCTTCATACTTTTTCTTTTTCATCTTCACCTCCAACTCTTAGCATTTTAACTCTTCATACTTTTTCTTTTTCATCTTCACCTCCGACTCTTAGCATTTTAACTCTTCATACTTTTTCTTTTTCATCTTCACCTCCAACTCTTAGCATTTTAACTCTTCATACTTTTTCTTTTTCATCTTCACCTCCAACTCTTAGCATTTTAACTCTTCATACTTTTTCTTTTTCATCTTCACCTCCAACTCTTAGCATTTTAACTCTTCATACTTTTTGTTTTTCATCTTCACCTCCGACTCTTAGCATTTTAACTATTCATACTTTTTGTTTTTCATCTTCACCTCCAACTCTTAGCATTTTAACTCTTCATACTTTTTGTTTTTCATCTTCACCTCCAACTCTTAGCATTTTAACTCTTCATACTTTTTCTTTTTCATCTTCACCTCCAACTCTTAGCATTTTAACTCTTCATACTTATTGTTTTTCATCTTCACCTCCAACTCTTAGCATTTTAACTATTCATACTTTTTGTTTTTCATCTTCACCTCCAACTCTTAGCATTTTAACTCTTCATACTTTTTGTTTTTCATCTTCACCTCCAACTCTTAGCATTTTAACTCTTCATACTTTTTGTTTTTCATCTTCACCTCTAACTCTTAGCATTTTAACTCTTCATACTTTTTGTTTTTCATCTTCACCTCCAACTCTTAGCATTTTAACTCTTCATACTTTTTGTTTTTCATCTTCACCTCCAACTCTTAGCATTTTAACTCTTCATACTTTTTGTTTTTCATCTTCACCTCCAACTCTTAGCATTTTAACTCTTCATACTTTTTGTTTTTCATCTTCACCTATAACTCTTAGCATTTTAACTATTCATACTTTTTGTCTTTCATCTTCACCTCCAACAAGGCTACAAGCAACCACTAATTAGTATTGGAAGTTACTGGAAGAGAAAAGATGAACTTTATAGAGCAAGATAATGATTTTGAAATGATAATGAAATAATGAGATAATGAAAAGACTTTAAATATTGCAAAAACTTCCTTCATCTTGTTTTCCTGATTATATGAATCAGGAAAGCAAGTTGAAGGAAGCGAATTCCAAAGAACTTTGAGGAAAAAAACTAGACAAATAAGAGTTTTTAGAGCACTTAGGAGCATTCATAAAAAAAGGTTGAAATCACATTAGATACAGAAGCTAAAGTGATACAAATGTCAAGTAATGGAACAACCTGTTTATCGGCTATATCAGGTAGAACGCAACTAGTGGAATCAATAGATGATATTGATTTCAAAAGCTGCAGCACAAAGGTTAGAGTGTGATTTCATTCTGATCTATGGTGACCTTAATTTTAGCAAAACATTTTATGAGTATATTGAGATTGGCAGCGGCATGGCAACAACAGTCTACATGCTAAATGAATGACCAGGCAATATGAGATTCCAAGATTGCTTAAACAAATGCCTACTCACACAATTGATCACTTTCAAAACATATCGTAACAACAGATTTTCAAAGCCAAACAGTACTCTCAACCTAGTAATAACAAACAAGCCAGATCTCTTGATAAAAATAAACAAGAAAGACTCATTCAGGAACACTCCTATTGGACAATCTGACACTCTATTCACAGGTCAATTTGTTCTGAACGACACGATAGATAAGGCACCATTTGTGCAACGAAAATGCTACATCTGGAGCAGAGCTGACTACACTAAATTCTTACTAAAATTAAGTTCAACTGATTGGAATAGCTTATTTGAAAACTACTAAGCTAACAAATGTTACAATCTATTCCTAGAAGTATACGACGAACTAATAACAGAACTCATTTTGTCAACTACCTGGCCCTTCAAGAAGAAACACAAACCATGGATAACAGGAGAAGTTTTGAATAAAACAAGAACTTTAGAATAAATATATCGCTTCTGGTTACCATACACATAGAGAGCTCAGAGACAAGCACAAAGAAGCATGTAGAAATGTAACAAAAACTTTGAGATTAGCCGTGTTAAATTATGAAGAGAACCTAGCTAATTTGTATAAAAATGACCCTAAAAAGCTACACACTCATATCAAAAACAAAACAAAATTCAAAACATGTATTCAACTCTATAGAAACCACTGATGAAACAATCTCAACAGATCTTCAAACTATTTGCACAACCCTGAACAATCACTTCCAATCAGTATTTGTCAATTAGCTAAACGGACCTGTGCCAGAATTTAGAACCCTGAACTGACAACAAATGTATATTAGACGAGGATATCTTTTCAATCAACAATATTCATGGTCAACTCACAAACCTAGACGAATCTAAATCTCTCGGTGCAGATAACATTCACCTTTGTGTACTCTAACAATGCGCAGAAGCTTTCGCATTGCCTCTAACATTAGTTTTCTTGAAATCCTTATTAACCAGCACTGCACCAGACCTGTGGAGGAAATCCAACATCACGCTCCTTTTCAAGAAAGGAAGCAAACTAAAAGCATTGAATTATAGATCAGTTTCTCTCACATCCATACAAAATATATATACGTACCATGCAAAATATTCGAGAGCATATTACATGAAAAAATAATGCTACACTGTAACGGTTTAATTAGAACAGCACAACACGGATTTGTTCAAAGAAAAAGCTGTTTGACAACAAAAAGTATCCAGTCAATGTGATCTATACTGATTTTGCAAAAGCGTTTGATAAATTCCCAAACAATCGCCTATTGAGCATATCGAAAGCATATGGCATCAACAAGAAAGCATTCATGTGGATAAATGCTTGGCTCAACAATAGACAACACCGCATTGTCATTGTTACTCATTTAACTGCTGAAATATTCACATAAGATTGGAAAAAAGTCACAAGTGGCGTCCCTCAAGGAAGCGTCCTCGGTCCACTCCTCTTTGTACTATTTATAAACGATCTGCCGGACAACATTACAAGCCAGTTTAAGTCTACGCAGATGATAGTAAAATTATGAACATCATAAAATTGAATGTAGATATGCTAGTTTTACAATCAGATATTGATCATTAACTGGTCTCACAAATGGTTGATGTTCTTTAATGTGGAAAAATGCAAAACAATGCATGTCGGTCGAGGTAACAAAAAATCTATTCAAGCCTACACAATGAAAAACACAGAAGGCACTCCTAAATACCTGGAGGAAACTGAAACTAAATAAGATCTAAGTGGAGTCTGCAGTCTCAGCAGCCAATTACAAATTGGGTAATTATTACAACTAAATAAACTGGAATATTAAAATAAAATTACATCATGCAACAATAACTTTCACAATTAATATTCACAAATAAAATTCTAGAGTCATGGAAATTTGTAAGCACAAAGTGTGTCATATTACACAAGTGTGTGTAATATGAATGTGTCAACAATGCTAATCATATTATTTTATAGTTTTTTAATCAATTTTTTCTAAGCTTTGCTGTTTCCACCAAATAAAAACAGCTAAGCTTAGAAATAAAACATAGTATAAAATATGATTATATTACTGTAATTATTTGTTTTTGTAAATAGATGAAGACAAAAAAATTTAAATATAGTATATAATAAATGAATAAAAATAACAAAAAAATAAAAAGCAAAGACTATTGCTCTTGACATATCAAAGTCCTTCAAAAATGTTTGGCTGGTTTTTACATAAGATATATATGTCCTTCAAAACTTTATATGATGTATATAGGTTTTTAGGAAATATTGAATCATTTCTTTCTAATCATAGAATTAAAAATGCCTCTGAAGGCCAATACTCTTCCTCATTTCCAGTACTTTCTAAGGTACCACAAGATTCTTCGGTCCTGTACTGTTTCTTATCTACATTAATGATCTTGCTGATAATCTTCTAATCTAAAGTATTTGTGGATAACACAACTATGCCAAGCTTGAACCTCTGTCCCATTGTCAAAAAGTTGCATTTCTAACTCTTTTCTACAAATACTATCATGGTCACTAATAAAACAAGCTATCATCTCTTGTTCCATCAACTAATCTCAATCTCACATAATTTGTGATTGCGCAAAGTCACATCCTTTTACTATAACTATCACTTTACGCTTTGAAAAATTTTATTTATCTAGATTTTTAATGCTTTATGTTGAATGGTTTCTTGGTTTTTAACAATATACTTTGTTTACTGGTAACTTCTAACCTAACTACTGGTAACTTCCAACCTAAAATTGATTGCTTAAAGCAATCAATTTTGGAAGTGGAAGTAAATTTAAGCTGAGCTCAAAGATAATTAAAGATAATTAATTCAGAAAAGTATGTATATAAAAATTATAAGAACAACAAATAAAAAAAAGTTTTCAAAACAAATTAGCTCACAAGG